ATATAACTAGCCGCAAGTGATGTGGGAAGTTTCAAATGTCCTGTGCTTGATAATGCTTTATACAAAAATGCAAACATTGGAAAATGTTGAAGGGATTTTGATTTACAATTTTAAGGAACTATAATGCAGCTAAGGCTTAAAGATCATATTTTGATACTATGCTTTGTCTTTGCGAATATAATAAAATCGGAACAAGATTTCATGGATTTCAATGGAAGATACCAAAACATCTTGCCTTACAAAAAACTCTTCTAAAAATAAATATAAACAATTAATAAAATGGTTTTAAAATGTCTTTAAGTTTATTTATTGAAGTGCATTAACACTTTAATACTTAAAATGTTGCATTATTTTGGCCTACGAGGAAACCAGTTTTCCTGCACATAGGATGCATATATGGCTATGATCGCACTGTGAACACTTGGCGAAACTTTCCATTTCATTTTTGCATTCTTTTCCCTTTCATTTCATTGGCCGCTCACCACTCCCGGCCCCTGGCGGCTGCCACAGTCAGCAGCCAGAGTATTTTATGTATTTTTAAATGCATTTCTAAATGAATTGTAATACCGTCTGCGTCTTCGTCGGATTGGCATCATGGAGTCGAAGTCGCAGTCGCCCAGACACGACCTGTGCGAGCGAGTGTATGTGCGATGTCTATCGCCCGAAACTCGGAGCGGAGTTGAATGGAGTCTCTCGGGTTGGATCGCGGCAACTTGCAAACTCATGTGCGGCAATAAAAAAAAAAAAAAAAAAACAAAAAATACCCGTGCTCGTATAACAAAAAAGAAACAATCAAATGCAAACATATACGGCGCACAAGAAGCTAAAAACGTTGAAGGTGATTTTTACTTTTACTTACTTAAATCCGTTTGCACGATTTTCCACCATCGAACGTCGATTTCAAATGCCGCGCGCTTTCAAATGAAGAGCCAACGACCAGCGGCAGCAGCGGCACAGCTTCCACATCCACGCAGCAGACTCCACAGATGCGAAAGATGATGAAGCCACCAATAAAGGCCTTCGTCCAGCACACCCATCTTCACCTCTGCCCCCGTCCATTGAAAGTGAAATGTTGTCTTTAAACAATTGTTTTGTAATTTTTTATGGCTGCCAGTGCGTTGTTTTCCCCCCAAGAAAATCAATTTCAAACAGTTTTTCTATTGTAATTTCCCGTAAATAAAAGCAGAGGAATGACTAGATTTTTATTTCATTTATATTATTTATTTCTGTATTACTTTATTACTTGTTTTGTTTGCCTTTCATGAGTTTTATTGGGGATTTTAATTAGCCAGGTCTGGGGCTGAGGTTTCCTTTCGAGTCATCATCCATAGCAGCTTTAATTATTATCATTTGGGCTTGTAATTTCGGTTTATAATTTGATTTTGCGGTTAGATTTGAGTTTGGTTTTGTTACAAAAATTATGAGAAAATTAACAAAAAAATGTATATATGTGCTTAGTGTTACTTTATATATTTATCTTTACATTTAAATGCTTTAAATTAGGAAAATAACTTTTTCTTCTTTGAAAATTAAGACAAAACCAATTTTAACTTAAGGGAAGCACCCATATTTATTTATCTCATCCCAATGCCCTTTCTCCACTCCATAATGATGACTAATTACCGGGCCTAAACGATGTCACCCATGCAGGTGATCTCATCCAACCCGAGATGCGATCCGGTGCAAGCCCAGCATGATGCACATGCAGTTCCCACAGCGGCCAACGAAAGTGAAACTGCCCCGGCGATCGGAAAGAGAAAGAGCGAAACCAGAAAACGAAATTTCCAATACTTAATGTTTTCTTAAATATTACACAATGGTCACGGCCCGTCCAAGTCAATATTATGTTATGTTAATAACTCCCGGGGCAACAAAGTAAGGCCCCAAACTTTCCCGCTCTATGTAGCTGGGCGAGGGCAGGCGAATTCTTGGCGTGCCCGGCAGAACTGGTCGGCGGATGTGGGGATGCATTGCCTTCGCCCCGAATCGGATTCGATCGCTGCCAGTGGTTCCGGATCGGGCCAGAAGACAGACATGCTGTCTGCCCCCCTCCATTCTCTGGGGCTTATCTGTTTGGCCCTCGCTTCGATCCGCTTTGTTTTTTTGCGTTTCGTAAATGGAGCTTGAAGCGCGACCGAGCACCGCAGGCGACCAGCACACAGGGAAACTTTTCAGCAAAGATGATAAGACATTTTTTATATAATTTAATTTATTAATTTTAATTTATAATATTTAAAGAAATCACTACATTATTATTTAAATTATTAGGTCAAATCAGACTTTAAAAAGATTTCAAGGTTCTAAGATAAGGAAGGTTTGTAGTTGGTGTGAATTTTTATAATATTAAATATTGCTTATATTTTTATTTAATTAATTTCTTTTAAGGAACATCTCTTAATTGCCGTTGCTTACTTAAAAAAATAATACATATTAAGTTTGTATAATTTATAAAATTGTTTTGTATTTATTTCCCAGTCAAACAGAAATGTTTGCAGGTAAACCCATAATTGAAGTTATATTCTTGAAGTTCCATTCCTCTTTGAACTCTTACCTATTCTATATAAATTTTGATTTAAATTTTAAAAGTGTGTTGTATTTTCTCTCTGTGTACTGAACCATTGGAAGACACAACAACCGCAGCAGCCATTCGGCATTCGCTTTCATTTCCAACTGCAGTTGCCTCTCAGCTGCTGGTCAGTCACACTTGCTACCCAATGCCATGGCGCACACCGTATTTTTCATGCCGTGCCATGCCATGCCATGCCGTGCCATACACTTGCCACTCGACGGCCCCCCTTTCGCACCCTTTGCACTGCGCCACTGCTCCTTTTGGCCGCTCGACGACGCGACGGTTCATCAGTGGGTTGCACTTGATGTTCGGGTCTCTGTTTCAGGTTCGCTTGCTTTGTGCAGTTTCGCTTTCGATTTCTTTCTTGCTTTCGATTTTCGATACCCTTGAATACGTTTTCAGAGGTGTTTTGAATTTCTATAAGTCAAGCCATTGAATATCGTAGAAGATGGTTAGAATTTATTGGAGTTTGAAAAGATCTTAGGACTATAGGTTCCTAAATTTTCCCTCTTTAAACAAGTCAATCTTAATAGAGTTATAAGAAATATTATGTAATAAACTACTATATGTCAAAAGATCATCCTGAAGACAGTTTGAAGGTTTAACCTTTAATATTTGAGTTGGGAGAGACCATATTTTCTCAAGGCGAAATGTACTATTGCATCTTACCGTCCAAAGCCCTTATGAGCAGTCAATCAACCAGAGTCTTAACTGATCGCAAACCACTTTCATCTGCCAGTGCGGCTCTCTGTCTTTTTCCCTGGGTTTTGGGAGTGGGAGACTTAATAAGCGTGCGAAACTTATTAATCATATTTCATGTCGGGGTCGCTGCCATGCGTGGCGATGGTTAAGGTACGACAGCGTATACTTATACATATGAATGACCAGAGATTAGCCATCATTGGCTTAATCGCGGGCTAAGATCGGCAGCGGCCCTTTTGGGCAGCCACTTTCGTTTTTATTCGAAGCCACTTAAGCGAGTCGGAAGAGCATCGATTCATGGTCAGCAAAGAAAGCTTTTCTCACAAATTAATTATGCTTCTCGAAAACCTCCCCGTGTAATAAGTGATACGAAAAATAAATTGTATTCATTCACTGATAAAAAGTCAAGATATTCCAATTCTCAAACAAAATTTTCCCAAGATACAAGATAGCGCGGATACTAGAGACATCTAAGGTAATACTATTACTTTTTAATGTAACGATTTAATTACACTTAATCAAGGTTAGGAAATTAAAAAAACTAACTAATGTAGTTATTTAATATTGGAATAAAACTAAGCTTCTCTATTAAATCGTAAAGTTAAAATTGAAAATCAAATATCATTTGCTGGATTTTTGCTGAAATTAGTGATCAGAGATCGCAAACCAAAAATTGTTTATCGCAACCCTGGAAAACCTGTTGCCATTTGGATGGATGTGGATGGTGGTGGCTAATGATGATTTAGTCTGTTGTTGTTATCGCTGCGGTTGAGGATGCTGGCTGTCCGCCGGTTATTGCCGCTTGCCTATTAAGCCACAACTTAGAAACTCAAAGCGAAACAACAACTGCAGCGGCCAGATTGAAAATACACATGTATAAATAAACAAAAATAAATAAGCAAACAGCAGTGGGGCTGGGACTGGGACTGAGGCTGAGGCTGAGGCTGAGGCTGAAATTGAGTCAAAAGCCCAAGAGATTCAACGAGATTCAAGAGGCCGGGGCTGCAAACAACTTTCCACTCCAACTTACAACTCGAAGCCGAAGCCAAAGCGGGTTTGTGACTCGACTTGACTTGACTTTGACTTGGACATGATCCACGTGTGCGTGAGTCTACTAGCTAAACACAGTATTTGGTATACGTACGGATAAATACAGATGTGTGCGCATACGTGATATGTGGAGGGGCTGCCACAAATTGTTTATTTGTCAATCGGTTTTTGGCTTATTAGCCACAGCCGAGCAGCGGCGCTGCAGCAAAAGTGAAATTTTCCACAGCTCCTAGCCAGAGCCAATTTATGGCCAGCGGTACAATTCAGTTAATGGCCCAGCCGCTGCCAATAAATCAGCGCGCGGTGAGTGAAAAACGTGACTTTTGATTTGACATTTCACAGTCATAAGTATGCGACGATCCGTCGTCTCGCCTCTGGTTTGTTATCAAATTAAATCGAAAACAACCCGGTCTCATGCAATTTAAATTCATTTGGCTCTGCAGCTGGGACTCGCCTTCATCTTCATCAAGAGCCTCTTGAATGTCATCTTGAATGTGGCTAAATGTCAAAATGCATCAGCATCACCGCAGTCATCTTCCCCGCCGTTAATTGAGTCATTTGGATTGTCTCTTCCCTCCCCTCTTCAATCGCTCCATCCAAGACTTTTCCCTCAATACTATTTAATTCTATAACTAACCGAATGCATTCTCTATTCGTATCTTGCACGCTTGCGCAACAGCGAACGGGTCTGACTGAACCAGTAAGTATGAGGCTGAGACTAAGCCTAGAGTAGCTTCTCTACTTATGTCTCTCTTGCATGACTTCATATTATTGAGTATTTTCATAGAAGTTGGCAGATTCTAGGATATATTCATTACTTACTAGCTTTAGTTGACTCATCATTATTTAAATTTTGGATAAAACTGGCATTTATTATTTATAGATATAAGGCTATCCGGCTCGAAGGACCAAAATGTAAAGGGTTCCAAAAATATACATTTTATATATATACCTACACATTTACTCACACATTTTATTTTTATTTTAAAATAAGCATTTAAAAAAGTTACAACATTTGGATTGCTACTTCGATAATATCGAATGTTTTAATAATTTTCCATTCAAATCACTGGGGAGCCCAAAACCGAGTCTGGCTTTGCCAGAGCTGGGTTCCCAGTGCCTGTTCACAGTCTGTTGATTTGTCATTAGCATTCGTACTTGTGCTCAAGTTACTCACTCGCTGGGGATCTGGCGCGATCAATCAGTGGGGCTTTTGTTTGGGGTCGGCCCACATTTACACGGCGCGCTTGGCTTCATTAGCCAGCGCCTGGGGGCGGAGCCACGCCCTTGCCGCCCCAACCGCTCACTCAAAATTCTGCACGCGCAGCTCCGAAAGCCCCCCTTTAAGCTGAAAGTCTCCCCATTTGTGTTTTGTGTGTCAGCAGCGACATGCGCGATGCATACATTTCCAGAATGTCGTTCGGATTCGTTCTGAAAAATCCGCTAAGAACAGAAGTTGGGTTGGGCTTCTGGAACAATTAAGCTGGAGCATGTTGCTGTGCAAAATGCGATCTTAAATTTAATCTGAAATCAGCACATAACTTTTATAAGCTGCCTGAGTGCCAGGTCAGTAGTTAGCAGGGTTCAGGCCCTTTCCACATTAGCATATAGTTTCAGTGTTGAATCAATAGAACAGCAAACGAAAATAACAATTCGCACAATTTGGAAGACAATTGTGACTCATTTAGTCACGATTTTTTACAATTGTTTTTTCATTTGTGCAAAACGACAAAAAAGTAAACCAAAACAAGAACCAGACTGGCATTGATAATTTATGTTGGCCTGTCCCCGGAGTGGGGCTTAGGCTATGTACGTGGTCGGGTACTACGAGTAGCCAACGGGACTCTGGAGATCGGCCTCGCCACCAAATGGTGTTTTGTAATGTGACAAAAGTAGATCGCAATTCGGCGATCGTGTGAGCCCGATCGCCAACGGGTCGTTAGAAGGTGCTACCACTAAGGCTGAACTGAGCCCATTTCTGTCACTTAACTCCTCGGACCCATTGAAATTTATGTGGAAAACGTGTCGACTGACTTAACCTGATGAAAGCCTGACAGCTGCTGCTGCTGCTGCAGACTGCAGACGGCAAACTGCAACTGCAACTGAAACTGCAGCAATAGCGAAGGCTGCTACTGTTGCAGCTTGCAAGTCTCTCACTCATTCTCTCTGCCCCAGCTATTTGAATACAAACGTGCGACTTTTCACATAAATCAATGTTAATGGCGCATTTAAACGACCCACCGCCGACAACAACAACCACTGAAATCGCAGAGAATATCATAAAATGAACAACAACAAAAAAGAAGGAAAATACACAAACCAGATAAATAAAATTAGCCAGCGTAATTGCAAACCAGACAGCCGGAGACCCCAAAAAGAAAAGAAAAAAAAATTGAATATATAGAGTACAGTGGCTCGATCAGACCTCCGCGTGGAAGGGAAGCGGGAGGAGGCGAAGGAGGAGGTGTTTCTTTCGGCCAACTTTGTTCAGTTGCTGGATAGTCTGGCACCACCGAGTCGAGTGAGTGGCCGGGAACTACCGTATTACACATTTCTAGCCTCACTCTTTGTGATTTTATTGTTTTGTATACATTTTGTGGTGTCAGCTTACAAGACATGATCGGGGTCGTTTGGGATCAAGAAATCGGACGGCATCCTAGGCGATTCCAGGGGGTGGTAAGGTCGCTGACACAAGGTGGCTTAATTGAGGGTTCATTGTAAGCATTGGGTGGGAATCATCTTTAATTTTTATTATTTATTCATATTTTATTATTAATTTATATTGTTGATTACAAGAAATACCAAGCACAATGATATTACAAGTAATTATAGATTGCAAAGTTTAAATTAGTTAGCTTTTTTTTCATTTGCGAAATATAATCTTCATACATCTGTATTTATGCAATTTTTTGCAAAATTCTAGTAATATAGTGAAATTCTCGTACGTCATTAACATTAGTCATGGCCAAGACAAATGTATCTGTCAGTATGTATGGTACACCTGGTTGCGGTAAAGTTAACACGTGCGCCACATATATAACGAAAAGCTGCGATAAGCAGGCGGAGATAAAAACCAAAAACACAAACGGCTGGCTAAGAAAAAGTTTGAATTTTTTAATTAAAAACACATTTACTTTTTGTTTTTTTTTTATGGTGGTGATAAGCAAGATATGATAACCAAATTTGTTTTATTTTCTTTATTTTTCGCCAACGTAGTTTTTGAATTGATGTGTTTTTGCAAATTGAGAATAATTTCTTTTGGTTTTATAATAATGCCTGATCGTTATCAAATCTGTGAGAAATATTTACATAATTTGCTGTAGTTTATGTCAAAATTATGTCATTTAAATTCCATAATCAATTAGCATTGAAATGTTTTTCCGAGTCTTATACAACATATTTTTGAACACATATTAACACATTTTCTCTCTTTCAACATTTTTGTAGGCATCGCGAAAGGTCTCTAAATGTGGATATTTATTTGTGGCGCCAGATTGGGACTTTAGCAATCCATTGTACAGAACAAAGGTGAGTTTTTAATATATTCATAACACGTTTATATTCTAGAATCTTACTTCTAATATTTGAATACAAGATGAATGTTTATGCTGAATCTAAAATAGTTTATGAAATTGACAAATTTAAGGTGAGGCTTAAAGAAATATAACGTTAATTTAAAAATATTCGTTTGCTTTTCTCTAGAGATCCACGCTTACAAAGACCAGCTCGTTTTGAAGCTTAAAAAAATATATAAAAAAAAACTCACACTTCGAATGCATTAAGGCTAACCAAATTTTCGATGTCCACTTTCCCAAAAATGCCAAACCGCCTATCCCCACTACAAGTAAATCCCATAAAGCAAATTGCCAGCCTTGTCCACCCAAAGGGGGTGCGGTAGGGTTGACATGGGTGGCGACTCGGAGGCGTTGGCGGGGTGGTGCGAAAAGCAGAAACACTTGAGCAAATATTTGACAGCATCTGGCGGGAAAGAGGCGACTGGCAGCCACCGATTTGTTGTTTTTTCGGTTCGCAAAGAAAGTGCCACTGGTTGGGGAGTCGGGGAAACGGGAACGGGCAAGGGGAAGGCTAAGAAATGATGACAGTTTGCCACCCGATGCACTTGAAGAAATATTTAAATATTAAAAACAAATAAATTACTAAAAAAAACAATTTTAAATATTTAAATGCTAACTTCAAATTTGATTCTGTTTGGTTTGAAAGAAAAATATCGTTATCTTTTTGTATAAAATTTCTTTTTTTAACATAATAACCTCTTTAAGCCTATACGTTTAGGCTCCTATTTGAATTTTTGAGTTGGCTTTTATGGTAGTGCATCCGAAGTTGTGTCTGGTGATGACCAGCACTACGCCACGCCTCTCCCACATCATCTTCCTCATTCTTATGGGCTGGGGGAATGGTTAATAGAGGATGCAGGATGGAGGATACAGGCTGGTCGACGTCGTCACTTCACTCCCTGCCAGCGAGATTTTTATCTTGACCAATTAGCGAATAACGTAGCGACGTGGCGACAGCAGCGCTTCGTTAAAGCCACAACGCAAACGTTCGGCGACATATGCAAATGGCTGCAAACAGTTACAGGCCTTGCCGCAATAGAGAGCAGCATCTGGACGGTGATGGTGTGTCCACCACCAGCACTTGGGCCAGGTGGCAGGTGGCAGGAGGCGGCTGTACGGGCGGACAGGTAGAAATGGCCAAATGGCCGAATGGTGGCCGCACACTGCCACTGATGTGTGTTGAGTTGAGCCCCGGTCAGCTGCGGCAACGACAGCGATGCTGATGATAATAATAAAAGTGTGCGCATGCGCAGAGCGCACTTCCTTGTTAACAACATAAATTTACGTATGTTTTTTAATAGATGGACAGGTATTTAATTAACATTTGCGCAGAAGCAGTCGCAGCAACTAACCGGATGTTGTGAGTCGTACTGACTGCTTTTCCAGTTTCACAGATTCAAGAAAGTCGGAAGCAGAGGCCGAAACGTTCATACAGTTCCGTGAATAAAGGGCGGGACAGATTGTGGTGCCGTAGCGGTAACGGAAAGAAAGTACATTTAGGCAATTATCCACTGGAGACTTTATGTATTATTAGTCTTTTTATGTTAACAAGTATTAATAGTTGAGCTTGAGTTAAATGTTGTTTATTATTATAATTTATAACTTTACTATGAAGAGATGTATAAATAAATATATATTCTTAAGCCACTTGATTCTGAAATGCGATGAGGATAAGGCTATAAAGAGATTGCATGGAGATAGAGTTTGGTATCGAATTTTCTGCATTTTTTAATAACAAATACATGGCGCCTATAATAAGATCTTCTTAGTCAATGAGTACCCCAACCCAGTACCATAATAAATACTCTTAATAAAAATCCAAAGTTAACCGGATCACCAAAAGTAATTCCACCACTGCTGTCGCCGAAATCTTTTTTGTCTCGGCATAATTTTCGTAATTTCCCTTGACAAGTTAAATGCTACAATTTGGTATCCGATAATTTATCATATAACTTAATATTGATTACGATTATCAAAAGGGCCAGTGCATCCAGGGGGAGAGAATGCAAAGACACACTCTTGCAACTGCCACTCGCAGCCCCTCCTCTCGCCCGCCGAGCATCTTTTCCGCTCGCGCCGAGCGCTAGGAAACGGCAATAAACTTACGTCTTGAAATTATGCAGATTTTTATCGCCACGCCAACTTTTCTGCATACAAAGTGCATAATTTCCAGAAAGGAAAAACCTGCTCGAGCGACGACAGACGGAAAGTTGGACGGTCGGACGAATGGACACGTGGGCAACATAAGCGCTGGCTGAGCAGCAGCCGATAAGCTTTGGCCTACACGGGGGGAAATGGGGAATATTTTCATAATGACGACTTTTGCGTGAGGAGGCACTGGGTGGAAGCCTTGAGCGATGTTGTGGAGCAGGGGAGTTCAACGTACTAGTACCTGCTCCCGAACGTAGTCAACAAGCGGAAGTGAATCAGTGTTGGCTGCATCAGTCGAAAGCACTGTTAAAACTATCGATGGTTTAACAAATTAGCCGAACTTCGATTTTGTTTACCACAATAGGCAAAGTCTTGACTTACATTTGGCTTAAAATTTAACTATAAATTATATTATAATTTTCCCATATTTTTTTATAGATTCGAACTTTCTTAGTACTTTATCGATATTATCGGTAACTCAACTTGCACCGTACCTGGGCTCTGCTCTGATCTGAAACTGGACTTGATAATGAAATTGATAATCCCAATCATCAAGCTCAGGCTGGTCACCGTTTCAAAAATGCTGCTGATTGACAAGTTTGGCCTGGCCACCGGCCAGTAGGAGCTGCTGCCAGACTGCAGCTTATTAATTAAACCAGGAAGCGTTTTCGGACGGGCTCCACGGGCAGTCTGCGATTGCAGCTGGGAGATCTTGAAAAATATTTATTAAAAATTATGCACGCATTAGCCGGCCTCTCACTCGGTCTCGGTCTCGGCCTCCCTGAGCTTTATAAAGGAAGTGTTTTGGCTTGGTGGGCGATTTACACGAAATGCTGCATATTTATTTTGTATCTCCAGCGGTAATAGCTGCGATTTGCGGTCGGGCCCGGGCCCAGACTCGGTTTATGGGCTTTTGATGGCCAAGAGAATCCGCTATTAAAATGAGCATCTAACATTTTACGGTCGTCCGTTCTCTTTCCATCTTTTTAGAACGGCGGCATACCGATATGGATGAGTTTTATTTGGTTTCATTTTCCTTTCAACGCCCACAGTGTGCGTAGTCGTTGGCAATTTCCTCTCAAAACTAATTACAAGTGCCTGGGGAGGAGGCCGAGGTAGGAACACAAATTAGAATATTAACTGAAAATCGTCTACATGGCGCAAATTCATTAATCGCAATTAACGGAAGATCGAAATGGAAACTATCGATTGCGATCGCAACAGGCTGCAGCCAGTTGAGTGTGGATACACGGAGCGAAGATTGCATAAAATTAGTTTATATTTATGTGCTTGCTGATTGAAAACTAATTTTACTTGTATCTGTACGAAAGGAGTATATATTTTTCGTAATCGTATAAAATTTATAACGTTTTTTGAGTGGGAATGTTTTTGTTTTATCTTAAAATCGGAAACCACTGACAAACACCACCCAAACATTAACTATTCTTGCAAATATTTCTATATATTGTAATTATTTTTGCTGGCTTGAGGTGAGCAATTCGAAATAAACATTGGACAAGTGGGTTAAGCACATGCATAAAAACCAAACCAAACAAACTAATTTGCACACTTGACGGCCTGACAGCTTCGGAATGACTGAATGAACGAATGAGTGGAATGACTAACTGAATGACTGAGACTGCAGCTCTGCAGTTCTGCGGACGCTGTCTCCCACCGCTAATAAATAGCAATTAGAATAACATGCCAATAAATCTTGGCTGGCTAAACTCTTGGCCATAAACTGCAATCGACTGTTGTCGATGCTGCTGCCTTTTAGCTGAACGGAACTGAGAGCGACCTTGGCTGGCATATGAGAACGAAATGCATAATGCAGATTGGGGCACTGACAGAAAAGAAAAGTTCTGAATCTTTGAATATCTTCAATATCTAATAGAAGCCCTTGTAACGAGCCAAAAGTTTTACTTTCTTTTAGTTTTTGTCAATACTGTCACTATCTCTAGAGATAAATGATTCACTAGCTCACTGATATATCTTAAAAGAGTCTCGGAACTTGGCTCAAATTGAAATTTAACTATATATTTTATATGTTTTTGTAGTTGACCGATTTCTCTCAGTGCTCAGTCACTTCCCATTCTCCTCTTCCACCTCCACGACCAGCCAGCCATCCAGCCATCTCTTTGTCTCTGTCAGTTTCATTCATAAATAAATACAAAGTGCAACACCTCTAAATTTATATGTTAATTAGTTTGGCTGCAAGCTGAAACCGCAAATTAGCCCACGACTCGCAAGCGAGTGATGCATTTGTAACTGTCAGCGTTGGAGAGGCCGGAGTGGATGGAGTTCTCGGCGTGGGCCTTTTCGAACTCCTCCCTTTTCCACCCACCCGAAGTTGAGCTAATTGATTGCTCGCTCGCCTCTCCTGGGCCTCCATCCTGGGCCTCCATTTGCTAACGGTAAGCGCTGTCAAGACCACACCAATGCCACAAACAATTCAAAGGCAAAAAAGGTGAAGAAAGCTGCAGAAACGAAACACATACATAGGCTAAGAAAATAATCTAAGCTTTCAAGTCCTTTCAGCAAGTAAAAAAGTAGTCTACAATAGAATTCTCGCTGCACATTGTTTATAGTCATATTTCAAGCTGACAACTGCCTGAGAAACACATGCTCTTTTGGATACCCTTTCTTTGTAAATTTATTTCGAGTATTTTACTAAAAAAAATAAGAGAGCATTAATTTATATATATACAAAATTTATATAGAATGTAAAATATTTAAGTTTATAATCAATATCACAGTGCTAAAACAATCACTGGATGCTCACAGATCAAAAATGCTCTTTTA